TAACATAAATAATATTATTGATAATGTAAAAGAATTATTATTAAAAGAATTAATAATTCTAAACCAAAAAATAAGTGTTAGTATAAAAAAGATGAGAGTAATCGTAAAATTTGTATTATTTGACGTACAATAGTAAGAAGTGTTGTAACACCTTTAAGGAAAAAGTTTTAATATATTTAAACATAATGAAAAGTAAGAACAAACGTAAAAAAAAAATTATTATAACATAAATAAATAGGTTGGTAATATCAAAGAACTATTATTACAAACAAAATAATAATTTTAAATAAAAGGTTAAGAGTTAATGTAAAATGGTAAGAATAATCGTAAAATTGATATTATTTAACATGAAATAGTTAAAATTATCTTTACAACTTAAAAAAAAATTTGTAATAATTCTAAACGTAATGAAAAGTAATAACGTAAGAAGATATTATTAAAACTTAATAAATTAGTAATGCAAAAAAAAATTAGTATTGTAAATAAACAAATAATTCAATTAAAAAATAAGTGTTAATGTAAAAATATGAAAATAATCATAAAATTGATATAATTTGATGTAAAATATATTATAAGTGTCATAATAACTTTAAAAAAACTTATGATAATTCTAAACATAATAAAAGAAACAAGTGTAAAAGATTTTATTGTAATGCAAATATAAGTTGATAACATTAAAAAATTATTATTATAAATAAAAAAAATTTAAACAAAAAAATACGTGTTAACATAAAAATATGAGAATAATTGAAAATTTGAAATCATTTGGTGTAAAATATATTATAATGTCATAATGTAAAAGGATAAGAATAGTTGTAAAATTGATGTCATTTAGCATAAATTGGATTAGAAGTGTCGTAACACCTTAACAAAAAGTTATGATAATTCTAAACGTAATAAAAAATATAAACAAGTATAAAAAAATATTATTATAACATAAATAATATTTTTGGCAACATAAAAGAATTATTATTATAAATAAATAATAATTCTAAATCAAAAAATAAGTGTTAATATAAAAAAGGTGAAAGTAATTATAAAATTCATATCATTTGACATAAATTGGTTAAAAGTATTGTAACACTTTTAAGAAAAAGTTATGATACTCTAAACGTAATGAAAGGTAACAATAAGTGTAGAAAGATATTAGTATAACGCAAATAATTAAGTTAGCAATGTCAAAAAAATTATTACTACAAATAAAAAATAATTTAAACAAAAAATAAGAGTTAACATAAAACAGTGAGAATAATCGTAAAATTAGTATTATTTTACGTAAAATAATTTGAAATATCGTTACACCTTAACAAAAAATTATAATAATTTTAAACGTAATGAAAAGTAACAACAAATGTAAAAAGATATTATTGAAATGTAATAAATTTGTAACATAAAAAAATTAGTATTATAAATAAAAATAATTCTAAATAAAAAAAGTATTAAAGTAAAAAGGTGAGAATAATTATAAAATTGATATAATTTTACTTATGAATTCTGAATATAATAAAATGTAAAAACAAACGTAACAGATTTTATCGTAACGTAAATAATTAAATTGACAACATAAAAAATTATTATTATAAATAAAAAATAATTCTAAATTTAAAAATAACTGTTAATGAAAAAAGATGAGAATGATCATAAAATTGGTATAATTTAACATAATATGTGTTAAAAGTATAGTAATGTAAAAATGTGAGAATAATCGTAAAATTAGTATATTTTGATGTAAAATAGGTTAAAATTATCGTAACACCTTAAAGAAAAATTATGACAATTCTAATAGTAATGAAATATAAGAACAAGCTTAAAAAATATTATTTTAACGTAAATAATTAAGTTGACAATATAATAGAATTATTATTATAAATAAAAATAATAATTCAATAAAAAATAAGTGTTTACATAAAAATGTGAGAATAATCGTAAATTTGTATCATTTAATATAAAATGTATTAGAAGTATTGTAACACTTTAAGAAAAAAATTGTGATAATTTTAAATGTAATAAAAAATAAGGACAAGTGTAAAAACATATTATTATAACATAAATAATTAAATTGATAACGTAAAAAATTATTATTATAAATAAAAAGTAATTCCAAACTAAAAAATAAATGTTAATGTAAACAAGTAAAAAAATGAAAATAATCATAAAATTAATATAATTTGATGTCGTAATACTTTAAGAAAAAGTTATGATAATTCTAAATGAAACAGAAAGTAAGAACAAACGTAACAAAAAATTAAATAAATAATCAACTTGACAATCTAAAAGAATTGATATTTTTAAATTAAAAGAATTCTAAATAAAAAAATTGTTAATGTAAAAAGATAAAAGTAATCATAAAATTCATATAATTAGATTTGAAATGAGTTCGAAATGTCTTATCCTCGAAAAAAGTTTTAATAGTTCTAAATATAATGATAAAAAAAGTATAAAAATATATTATTAAACATAATTAATTAAATTGATTTCGTAAAATAAATTAATATTAAAAAATTAAAAAAATATTTTTTAATTTGTTAAATTAATAAATTAAATAAAGTTATGTATACTTTTTTTAATATTTATCTGTTAACCTGTTCTTCTTTTTTTTTTTTTTTTTTTTATTTAAAGTATATTATACCTACAATTTATTTTGATAAATCATAAGATATCATGATATTTCATGACTTTAGACTAAAATTAATATGTTGCGATATTACTATAAACAAACCCGATTAAAACATCAATTCTTTTTAAGACTCTTAATGCTGTCGACTTTCAACCTTCTTTGTTTGTCAACACAAATTAAACATCTCTCTTTTCCACGCTAAATGCCAAAAATTTGGCATTTTGATTCAAAATTATTAACTATACTTTCAAAAAAAAAAAAAAAAAACTAGATAAATGATTAAAGCTCACCCAACCTATCAATAATATATACAACAAAAAGATTAAATTAATTTAGAATAATATTCACTCACCATTATTTTTTCAATCAATAATAGTCTGTGAATTGTCGCTATGATTTCAATTAAAATATCAAGTCCATTTTAAATAGAAAACTTGTTTAATTAAACTATTTGAATTAATATTTATATGCATAATAATTTATTCATCTAGTTTTATCTCTATTGTAAGTTTTAATTTTAATTTTAATGTTGTTTTTCAATAAAAGTTTTAAAATTTTGAGAATGGAATAAATTGTTTTATCTAACACTCGAATTTATAGAAAAACCAAGGCACCAATTGAAATACCAATTTGCAGTGATTTTGTTAGAAATTTTTTTTTTTTTTTAAGGTAAGTGTGTTGACAAATAGGTTGGACAATTTTCACGTTTTGAAATTTTCCTTCTCCTTATGTGTTTGGTAGCCCTTCCATGTCTGTCTGTCATTTTCACCTTATCGTAAAGTGGAGGATGGGAGTCAACGGCTGATCACTTCATATATATAAAAACAAATACCAACAGTTGTTAGATTATAATAACAACCTCATTTTCTCTAAGTCTTGCATGTTGGTGGGACATATAAATTAAATTTTATTTATAATTTTGCAAGCAGAAAAAAAAAATCTTTAGTTGTTCCTAACCTTGATCTTGCATAATCAAGAAAATTTTAATGAAGCATGGATATAACGTCTAGGCTAGGTGCATCAATTTTGATTTATTTTTAACTAAGATATAATTATTTAAGATTTTGTGCTATTTATATATAGAAAATTTTTATAAAAACAGGGAGATTTTTTTTTTGCAAGATGGTTGGGTTTTCTTTCTTGTTTTATTAATTTCATTTAATTTTTTGACTGGAACATCGAATTATAGAAAGAGTATAAAATGGGGGAAAATAGAATGAAAGCAGCATTCCACTTAGCCCCTTTATCGGTTCCGAGACTGAAAAGAAAACTGCATACGAAATTATGAATGTAATTAAATGCATTCATAAATGGCAGAGAGGGACTTCTAAATTGGAACTTCTATGTCTTTTCTTTCCCCCCAATTTTTGTTTAATATTTATATATTTGTTAAATGGCAGAACTTGAATTGAAGCGGAAGCTTAATTATGCAATTTCCTAAGCTTTTTTGTAGTATCTATGTAAATATGAATAAGATGATATAAAGAAATTACGGCAGATGACAAGGAGATGGTCTATTTGGTCTAAAATTTTCACAAAGTCAAATGTTTTATAGCACTAATTGGATGAATATTTTCATTAAATAACAATTACTTAAACTAACCATTTAACTTAACAATAAATGCACGTATCCTAAGGAGTTGAATCTTTCCTTCCTATCGTTAATAAAGGAAAAAAAATGGAAATGAGAGCTTATTTAAAAAAAAAATGATAATGAAAGCTTGGAATTAATGACTTATTGAAAGGCTATGCTTCATTAGTACTTAACGAGTAAAAATTTATTACCATTTTTATAATAATAATAATAATAATAATAATAATAATAATAATAATGAAATTGAGCTCAGAATTTAGGTTAATTAGTACATATAAATTTTTTTAAGAGATGTTTTATGGATATAAGATTCGAATTCAATCCTTATAAATTATTTTTATTCTAAAATTGCGATTTTGTTTGTATATATAAAAAAAATAATAATGAAATTTAAAGTTAGTTAAAAAGAAATTAAGCTATTTTTTTATGATTTCATCATTATTGTCACATGGCACATAATATTTGTAAATGACCATTGAAGCGCGAGAATACGACAGCACCAATTGCTGATAGGATAGGTGTGACGTTGTCTTTGAAGTAAATTAACTTTATAGCATAGACCAATGTCAAAATGCTCCTGGCTGCTCCTTCAGATGGTCAAGGAGAGTTTCCTGCTCCTTTTATAGTTTCTTCTACTTAAAAAGCCCCTTCGATTGATAATGATTTTGCTATTTGTTCTTTTTCTTTTTTAATTATTTTTCCAGTAAATAAATAAACAAATAAAAAAAATTAACTGAACGGAAGGAAAGTTGAGTGTTGGCGCATAATGTTTTTCCCTTTTCTCCCACAAGCTGAGGCCTCGACTATAGGCAAACGACTCGGTTCGGACAGTTTTTCCTCTTCGCCTTCTTTTTAGAAAATTCTTGGCTGATTAACTTGCCTTTAAACCCCATGTTTCCTCATCCTCTACTCACAGAACGATAGAATACCAACCGCATTGTCTACCATGGAGATTTGGTATCATATTTGCTTGTAGCGTTTGTCTTTTTACACCATGTTCAAAAAAGAGAGTTGACACCACCATTAGAGGAAAAAAAATTTACATATCAGCATTCCCTTTCCCTCGATTATACAATATAAGACCTCAATAACTATCCGATGAAAAGAAATCTTCAAATGTGTCAATCAAGCTACTTAGATAACCAAAATCTTCAGTTGCCATTCACTGCTTGTTTCCTGTGACAGTTTATTAGATGCAAACGAATGACAATACAAAAATAAGACTTAAATTGGTTGTGAAAACTCTACCTCAACTTGTTCAAAAAGTATCTCAAGTTCAGCTGTTATCTCAGAGAAGGAAGGTCGCTTGTCAGGGGCTGCTTCCCAACATCACTGCATCAAGTCTTAAGAGTTTTGCATGTGCGTTCTTGAGAAGATCCGGACGCAAGCCCTGAAAATTAAAATAACATAAGACATAAGAAAAGCTTTTGCCCCAGTCTAACAAACCCATTTTACAGTGATTACAATGGAAATGAACAAGCTTTAGTGGAACCAAAATTTCCCAATTCACGCCCATTTCATTTTTATGCGATCCAGTATCTGTCTTTCTGTTTGGCAAAATTCCTGACTTTTACATTCTTACTGTACGCACTTAAAACTTCAGATAATGCACGGGGAATTGATGTTATTATTCCCTTCAGATGTGCTTCAAAACGTCAATATTTTGAGTTTCTTTTCTAACACTAACGGATTCAATGCTTGCTTACTGCAGTTGATGGCCATTTCTAATTGATGTTAGACCAGTTGGATTTCGGACCGCAGAGTCTCAATAGATTAGTAATTTTCATTTTCTAGCCACAGCGCAAAAGGTATTAATACATTCCAGGCCAGATTTCATGCAGAAAATAGAGCTCACAGATTTCATTGCAAAAGCTATCAAGTATCTGACAGACATTTAAACCGTACATCTTCACTTGTATATCACACGGAAGCCACTTTAAATCATGCTTGAAATTAAATGAACATAATCCAAAATATTAAACATTAAAAATACAGTTGCTTTGCAATGCATGGTGCAGTAACAAATATGTACCATCTATCTCCCACCCCCTTACAAGTATAAGTATCCACCACCATCCCAAGTTTATAAGCACAAGTCTCCTCCAACACCACCACATCACCACATCACCACCTAAGCCACACCCCTACAAGTCCCCTCCTCCTCCTCCTCCTCCTCCTAAGAAGCCACACAATTACAAGTCTCCCCCACCACTTCCTCCGGTCTATAAATACAAGTTTCCTCGACCACCTCCTTAGGTTTACAAGTCCCCTCTTCCTCCTCCTCCTAAGGAAGCTAACAAGTACAAGTCTCCTCCACCACCTCCTCTAGTTCACAAGTGCAAGTCTCCTCCTCCTCCTAAGGAACCAAACAAGTGCAAGTCTCCTCCACCATCTCCTCTACCTTACAAGTCCCCTCCTCCTCCTCCTATTCTTAAGGAACCACATAGTACAAATCTCCAACATCTCCTCCAGTTAAACAAATACAAGTCCCCTACTCCTCCTAAGGTGCCATAAAGTACAAGTCTCCCCTACCACCTCTTTCAGTCTATAAATACAAATCTCCTTTACCACCTCCTGCTAAGGAGCCGTACAAGTCTCCCTTACCACCTTTGATTTACAAGCACAAGTCCCCTCCTCCTACTCCTAACAAACCATACAAGTACAAGTCTCCTCCAACACTTCCTCCAGTTTACAAGTCCCCTCTACTTCCCAAGGAACCATGCAAGTCTAAGTCTCCTCCAACACCTCCAATTTACAAGTCCGTCCTCCTCTTCCTCCTACGAAGCCATACAAGTACAAGTCACCCCCACCACCTCCTCTAGCCTATAAATACAAGTCTACTCCACCACCTCTGGTTCACATGTACAAGTCCCCTCCTCTTCCTGCTAAGGAGCTGTACAAGTGCAAGACTCCCCCATCACCTCCTCCAATTTACAAGTCCTCTCCTCTTCCCATTCAGGAACCATTCAAGTCTCTACCACCCCCTTCTCCAGTTTATAAGTACAAGTCCCCCCTCATCCTCCTAAGGAAACATACAAGTAGAAGTCTCATCCACCACCTCCTTTAGTTTACAAGTACAAGACCTTTCCTCCTCCTCCTCCTAAGGAGCCTTACAAGTACAAGTCTCCCCCACCACCTCTTCCAGTCTATAAATACAAGTATCCATGACCACTTCCTTCAGTATACAGGTCCCCTCCTAAGAAGCCTAACAAGTACAAGTCTCCACTACCACCTCCTCCAATTTACAAGTACAAATCCTTTCATTCTCCTTCTCATAAGGAACCATACAAGTACAAGTCTCCACAGCCTCCTTCAGTTTACAAGTATGAGTCCCTTCCTCCTACTAAGGAACCATAAAAGTGTTCTCCACCACCTCCCCCACTTTAAAAGTACTAGTTCCCTTCTCCTCCTACTCCTAAGGAACCATACAAGTACAAGTCTCCTCCACCACCTCTTTCAATTTACAAGTCCCCTCCTCCTAAGGAGCCATACAAGTACAAGTCTTCCCCACCACCTTGTCCAGTCCATAAATACAAGTCTCTGCCACCTCCTCAGGTCCATAAGTGCAAGTCCCTCATCTTCTTCCTCCTGAGGAGTCGTACAAGTCCCCCCCCACCTACTCCAGTTTTCAAGTTCCAATCCCCTCCTACTCCTCCTCCTCCTCTTCTTCCTCCTAAGGAACCATACAAGTCTCCAGCATGCCCTCCCATTTACAAGTACAAGTCTCCTCCTCTTCCTCCTCCTAAGGAACTATATGAGTACAAGACTCCTCCACCGCCTCCTGCAATCTACAAGTACAAGTCTGCTCCACCAACTCCTCCAATCTACAAATACAGGTCTCCTCCCCCTCTTCTAGTTTACAAGGATAGGTTCCCTTCACCATCACCACCGTATTACATCTATTCATCACCTGTCCTCCTCACCACTACTTAGTAAGGGCTTTGACAGTACCAAGGTAACATACATTTTCCCTTAAATATTTTTGTATCTCTTCAAGGTGCATTATTTCTTATTTTTTTTGCTTGTTTGAATTTAATCAGTTCAATTTCAAAAACACAATGTATAGTTGCAAGAGAAGAGAAAAGTGTAGAAATTGAATGTATATTGAAAAACTGCTTATTTTTAATTATACAAGAATTTTAAGTTTATATACAACTAACTAGGGTTAAACTAGGAAACTAAATCTTCCTTAATTCTAGGGATACAAATACTTAATTGTAGAGATACAAATATAAATATACAAATTACAAGATTACAACCAGCTGTAAATAAGTGTTTTCCCACACTCCTCCTCAAGCTGGTGAATAGGTGTTTTCCATTCCCAGCTTGGAAATAATTTCTTGAAATGTTACATTGCTGAGACTTTTAGTCAACACATCTGCAAGTTGACCCTTGGTTGATACATAAGGTGTACAAATCAACCCACTGTCTAGTTTTTCCTTTATGAAATGTCGGTCTACTTCAATGTGTTTTGTTCTGTCATATTGCACAGGATTGTGTGCAATGCTTATTGCAGACTTGTTATCACAGTAGAGTCTCATTGGTCTATCCCACTTGATCTTTAAGTCTTCTAGGATAATCTTTAACCATAGTAGTTCACAAATTCCTTGAGCCATTGCTCTGAACTCTGCTTCAGCACTTGATCTTGCCACCACATTCTGTTTTTTACTCCTTCAAATCACAAGATTACCACCTAAGAAAGTGCAGTAGCCTGAGGTGGATCTTCTATCAGTTACTGAACCTGCATAATCAGCATCTGTATATGCTTCTAGAACTAACCCCGAATTTTTTTTGAATAAGATACCTCTCCTAGGATTGGCCTTCAAATAATGCAATATACGGTAGACAGCCTGTAGGTGCATTTCTTTAGGACTATGCATAAATTGACTTATCACACTCACAGCATATGTTATATCAGCTTTAGTATGTGAGAGATAAATGAGTCTTTCAACTAATCTTTGGTACATCTTTTTATTTACAGCAGCATCTTCATTAGCTTCTCCAATTTTATGATTAGGATCTATAGGGGTATTTGCAGGTTTACATGCAAGCTTTTCAGTTTTCTTCAGAAGATCCATCACATATTTCTGTTGTGAGATAAAAATATCATGCCGTGAGTGAGCTACTTTAATTCTTAGGAAATACTTCAATCTTCCTAGCTCTTTTATCTCAAATTCTCTAGCCAAACACTGTTTTAGAGATTCTCTCTCTTTTTTATCATCTCCAGTTACAATTATATCATCAACATACACTAATAGAACTGTGACTCTTCCTGAATCAGAGTGCTTGATAAACAATGTGTGATCTCCTTAACTCTGTTTATATCCCATTGCTAGCATCACTTTGACAAATCTCTCGAACCAAGCTCTAGGAGACTGTTTAAGGCCATATAAAGTTTTTTTCAGCCTACATACTTTGTTTGCTTCTAAATGACCTCCAAATCTCGGTGAAACCTTCATATATATTTCTTCTTCCAAATCATCATGTAGAAAAGCATTCTTTACATCAAGTTGTTGAAGCTGTCAATTGTAATTTGCAGTCAATGATAACAAAATCCTAACTGTATTCATCTTGACAACTAGAGCAAAGGTTTTCTGGTAATCCACTCCATAGATTTGAGTGTAGCCCTTAGCCACTAACCTAGCTTTACACCTTTCAACAGTACCATTTGCCTTGTATTTTACAGTGAAAACCCATTTACACCTCATTAGATTTTTTTCTTTAGGCAGCTCTACCAGTTCCCATGTCTGATTTTTCTCTAAGGCCTCCATTTTTATTTTCATGGCTTGCCTCCATTTCTCACTGGATAATGCCTCGGATAATGTAGTTGGAATAGAAATAGTGTTTAGGCTTACAAGAAAATTTTTGTGGGATGGTGAGAATTTTTCAAATGACACAAAATTAGATATTGAGTATAGTGGATGCTTGGTACATTCTCTAGTTCCTTTCCTAATGGCAATAGGCAAATCATAATCACTAGTTATAGTTTTAGGAGATTCATGCTCATTTTGAGAAACAAAGTAAAAAACTGTAGTTACCTCATTTCCAGAGTTAGGATCAGGTTCTTAGACTGGCACTGGTTCAGGATCTGAAACTTTTCTTCTTGAGTACACTTGTAATTCCTTCATAGAATCAAGAATAATATTATCCTTTGTCACATCTTCCGTATTTGGAATGGGTTCAGACTCAAATTCAGTGTTTGACTTGGGCTCAGCAGAAACAGGTTTCAACTCAGAAGAATTAATGGGTGTAAATATTGAAGAATGGGGCAAATCAAGCAGAAAGAAGTCTTTATCCTTATCTTTCATGAATGAAGTCTCCCCTGAAAATAAGGTTGAGTAAAAAATGATTTATTTTCTTCAAAAGTGACATCTGTAGACACAAAATTTTTTGGTAGAAGGATGATAGTACTTATATCCTTTTTGAGTTGAAGAATACCCCCCAAAAATACACATAATCGCTCTTGGATCCAACTTTCCCCTGTTATGACTGTGAACATGAACAAATGATGTACAACCAAATATTCTAGGTGTGAGATTGTTTGTGGTATTCAGGTTGGGATAAAATTGTGAGAGTAGTTTCATAGGAGTTTTAAATCCCAAAACTCTTGAAGGTAACCTATTTATAATGTATGTGACTGTGAAAACAGCTTTCTCCCAATAAGATTTAGGTACATTTGCTTGAAAAAGAAAGGCTCAGGTTGTGGCTAGTAAATGACTATTTTTTCTCGCTGCCACTCTATTCTGCTGTGAAGTATTAATACAAAATGACTCATGGATAATCTCTTCTTTTTGAAAATAAGTGGATAGACTCTGATTGAAATAGTCTCTTGCATTATCAAACCTAAATCTCTTGATTTTTACTCCAAATTGATTTTGGATCATGTTTTGGAAGCTTAAAAATATACTGTTCACATCTGATTTGGATTTAAGTAAAAAAACCCAAAAAATCCTAATACAATCATCTATGAATGAAACAAACCATCTCGTACCAAAAATATTAAAAATTGTAGAAGGACCCCAAATGTTACTATTGATCAAGTAAAAAGGAGTAGAACTTCTTTTATTACTGATTGAAAAAGACACACGTCTATGTTTTGTAAATTCGCAAATATCACAATAAAAATCTTCAACATTTAATTCTTTGAACAAAAAAGGAAACATGTTTCTCAAGGTTCCAAAAGAAGAATGTCCAAGACTAAAATGATAAAGCCAGATTTTATCTTTATTGAAAGATTTTTCAGAAAGAAATGACAAAGGTAAATTATTTTTGATACTACTTGTGTTATTTGATGTCTCAAGATAGTATAGTCCATCTTTCTCCTTAGCAAGTCCAATCATCTTCCCCGAACTCTGGTCCTGAAATTCACAATAAGAGGGATAAAAAGTTACTTTGCAATTCATATCTCTGGTAAGTTTTTGTATAGATATCAGATTAGTAGACAATCCAGGAACATGAAAAACATTTTTAAGAACAAATGAGGGATTAACTTGAACATCTCCTAATCCTGCCATTGTGGTAAGTGAACCATCAGCAACAACAATTTTCTTGTTACTAGGACACAGGTTATATGTACTAAACTTTTGTGGAGAATGTGTCATGTGATCTGTGGCTCCTGAGTCAATGAGCCAAGAACTCGTAATAGACTTAGCCGAGACATTTAATCCATGAAAACCGAAAGCTTTACCTGAACTAGAAACTTTACCCAAAGAACATACCATAGTAGGCTTTTCAAGGATTTTCAATAAGTTTCTCAGCTTTTCAATCTTTTCCCTGTTGAACTCTCCTTGTTTCTGAGACATCTGTAATACTCCAGTGATTTTTTCAGTTAACATTTTTTCAAATTGGGTGATAGTGATATCTTTTTTTGAAAGGGTTCGGCAATGAAAGCCTAAACAGGATTCGACAATGAAGGCCTAAAAAAGTCAGCAATGAAGGCTAAAAATTTTTCTTTCCAAAAAGAGCCTAAAGCTCTGATACCATGTGAAAATTGAATGTATATTGAAAAACTGCTTATTTTTAATTATACAAGAATCTTAGGTTTATATACAACTAACTAGGAGTTAAACTAGGAAACTAAATCTTCCTTAATTCTAGGGATACAAATACTTAATTCTAGAGATACAAATATAAATATACAGATTACAAAATTACAACCAGCTATAAATAAGTGTTTTCTCACAAAAAATGTGATCCAAATAAAGGGACAAAAAATTGTTTGAAGAAATATATATATATATATATATATAGAGAGAGAGTTAGAGAAGAAAATTGGAAGCCAAGCTCCGCATTTGAAGAGCAGAAAACAATAATGTAGACAAGTAGTAGGGAAAAAGAGGATTCATTAACCGATTCAATGCTCTCTTATAGTAGTTGATGGCTTTTATACATTGTTCCATTTCTAACTGATGTGTCCAAACAGATACAATAGTTAGATTTTGGACCAAAAAGCCTATATAGATTGGTAATATTCATTTTCTAGCCACGGCAGATTGAATCTCAGAAGGTACTAATACATTTCAGGCCAGATTTCATGCAGCAAAATAGAACTCAGAGATTTTATTGCAAAAGCTATCAAGTATCTGACAGACATTCCAACTGAGCATATTCACTACTAAACCACACGGAAGCCACTTTAAATCATGCTTGAAATTGAATGAACATAATCCATAAACATTAAAAATACAATTGCTTTGCAATGCATGATGCAGTGATAACATATAGTAGAAAAAGAAATCAAGATTCAATAATAGACCCCATATACTGAGAAACTCTACGTTTGATACTAAACCATGATATGGTTGATATCATTATTTAGCTTCAGAATCAAAAGTGCCTACCTGTCTTACTCCCAAGGCAGCTAGCAGTGGACTCATGTTATCATATGGAACCTGCAATACCAAGATATTTTAATTTTCAGAAGTCCAACTTCCAAATTTTTAAAATCCAATTGCTTATCCACTTTCTTTGATTTCAGGAAATACCTTGGCTGTAACCAGCTCCCACAGTACAATAGCAAAACTGAATACATCTGCTTTCTGATCATATGGCTGATGGTTTATGACCTTGTGGGAAGTGAAATAAAGCAAGAAGATGATAACATACCAAAACAAGACATGAATATGATGACGGTTAACGTACACAATAAGGGCCAAAATTATGACACATGAGATGGATCATAACATATGAACTTGAATCATTAAACCTGCATCTCTGTTCATTTTTTTGCAGAAAACACATGAAAGGAACAAAGAATCAAAATATTAAATGTTTACAAAAGAACATCAGATATAGGTAATTTCCACAAAGAACTAAGAAAGTTTCCTATCAAAATCATAAAAAAAATACCAAATTTTGAATTAAAGGAAGCAACCACGGCTCCTCACTCTACTGTGAGGGAAAAAGAAAATGAAAATAAACATAAGAGATTCACACCTCAGGTGCCATCCATCTAAATGTCCCAGTCTCAGCTGTCATTACTCCTCCTTGGTTCTGAAACTGAGCAACACCAAAATCTGCCACCTTAACAACCTTAAGGGAAAACATAAAGTTCTTAATTTTAGAAAATATGAAATGTTGCAAAAATCTCTCTTGAAACTGTGATATAATCAATTCTACAGATGCCAATATAGATTACAGCCAGCTAACTTAGCTGTCTACCCTATTAACTTGCAAAAACTTCATTACTAGGACTAGATTGACAAATATAGCAAGAGAGATGGATCAAGTCACTAGAAACATGACAAGGCTTCTGCTAATTCAGTAATAAAAAGAGATTATAGAAAATTTATCACAGGCGATGGGAATTTTAGGAGAGTTTGGATCACATGTATCATGAATCTAGATACAGAATAATAAAACATGACTTGTTACTTTATCCCTTCTCTTCTTTGTGACCAATCTCGTTGCAAGTGGTTTAGCAGCTTATTGCTTATTCGCCTGGGCTTTCCTGCTCTTACGGAAGTGAGCTTGACATACAAGATCCCTTGGTCGAAATAAAATTTTACTACAGAACATCTGAATCCCAACAAATTTTAAGTAATTGTGATTACTTCAGTTAACCCACCAAACTCTCTATCACCATTAAAATACTTACGAATGTTAACCAACAAAATATGAGATGAATGAAAAATCATCATTACATACTTGATTCATGACAACTTCCTTATCAGGCCCAGTAATGTAACTCGAACTATTCAAAGTTCCACATTCTACACCAAATGTGACTCCTATTGTTCGCAAAAGCATTACAACTCCAAAAGCAAGAGGTTTTCTTGGGAGAGATTTACATAATCAAAGTTCTCATCATACACAATGTAAGAAAGCAGAATATTGCCAACCTCCAACTACATGAAATCTGTGAAGTTATGCCACAACTTGCTATTTACAATGAGTCTAAACAGCCTGAATATCTTAGAGTAAAGGGATACACGCATTGAAATCATATCTTCAAACTAAATTTCAGACCAAGGATTTGGGAATTTGTGATATTTCTTAGGTGTAGAAGTTGCTATCTCTTGTGAGGGGATTTCAATATCCCAAAGGAAGCTGACTTACTTTCTGACACTGGATTGTTAGGATGCAAACCTATCGACACTCCTATGGACCCTAACACCAAATTACTAACTGATCAAGGCGATATGTTAACTGATCCGAGCTGTAATTGAAGATTGGTTGGGAAGTTGAACTACTTGACAATTACTAGACCAGATATTTCTTTTTCAGTGAGTGTCGTTGGTAAATTTTTAGTCTCTTTAAGAATGAGTAATTGGAATGTTGTTCATATCTTAAGATATCTCAAGGGTGCTCCAGGTCATGGCCTGCTTCATAAAAACCATGGTCACCTTCATGTTGAAGGTTATACTGATGCAGATTGGGTTGGATCTCCGAATGATAGGAGTTGGTTATTCTGTGTTTGTTGGAGGTAACTTAGTGTCTTGGAAAAGTAAGAAACAGTCAATGGTTGAAAGATCAAGTTTTGAATCAAATACTACTTGTGAATTGGTTTGGTTGAAACATCTGATGGAAGAACTCAGGCTTAAGCAACAAGAGCCTATGACCCTTATTTGTCATAATCAAGCAGCTCTTCATATAGCCTCAAATCCATTATTTCATGAAAGAACTAAACACATCAGGTGAATTGTCATCTGGTTCGAGACAAACTCATGCATAATGGAATCTCACTCTATGAGATCTATGGACCAACTAGCAGACTTAACTTAAAAATCTTTACCTGGTTCTAGTGTAAGATATATTTGTAACAAGATAGGTACATATGACACATATGCTCCAACTTGAGGGGGTATTAAGTATTTAGGTTAAAGGGTATATTTGTCATTTTTACTACTTAATATTATAATATTAATAATATAGGAGACTACCACATTGGTAGACTCCACTATTTTTCCTAATAACAACTGCCAACAAAGAAATAAAGTGATCTTCACCAAAGATAAAGCCATCTTTCAGGTCAATCAATCCTTTAATAACTTTTTAGAGAAAGAAGATTGCAGACACTTAGAATCAAGATAAAACAAACCTCAGTAGCATAGACAGTATTAACATGATGAAAAAGTATTTACTAATACATTACCAAAGACACTTGAACTATATTCCTAATAGAGGACCACCATGCAATAGATTTTATGTCCATAAACATCTGGTAAGGGTTAAAAATAATTCAACTCATAACCCTAATCTGCTCTTTATCCACATAAACGTATGGATTTTTGGTAGCATTATATTCACTAACCCAATAGTGTGCAAATTCGTATAATTAGTTTACTATACTTCATAGTAGTTTGACCCTTGTTAAGAACTTTTACAAGGGAAAACCCAACTCTTCCAGATGCCAAGGTTCAGGTTTACAACTTAATCTTCAGTCATGTTGCCCAACATCACAAACAATTTAATTATTAGAAAATCAGATAAACTAATCCCTTGAGCACCCTTAAAACAATGATATTGAAAAATTCTTACATCTTCTGTATCCATTAACACGTTTGCTGTCTTCAAGTCCCAATGAGTTATGTTGTTTTGATGCAAATACTTCATTCCTTTGCATACATCAAAGCAAACTTCAGCAGCTGTGAGAGTTTCAGGACATTATGATTCTTATGCAAATAGTCATACAGGTTTCCCCTGGGCATATATTCTGCAAACAATAATATGAGCTGCAAATTGAGAAATTTTATAAATATATTTGAAATTAGACAGGTTCCAAAGGTGAAACAGCAAGTGCAGGTGGGTGCTCTAGGGAGGGGGACTGGCAGCCCCAACTGCTGTCAACTATATGAATTCTTTTAGTTGTGGTCCCAATTTAAGGCCACGCTGTGAAAGATGTACAAACAACCCAAAAAGTTAGGTAATAAAATTTACTACAACAACAACAACAACAAACTAAGCCATATATCCCATAACTCTAGGGTGGGCTGTATGAAAAGCCAAAAAAGGAATCATGTTAGGTTGTAGTTTTGAATCTTCTTGCGCCACTCATTTCTATCAAAAGCCTTTTCAACTACTTTCTGAATCCTCATATTATTTTTTATTACTTGCATTCATGTCTTTCATTAGAAGTTTTGGTCTCTCTTAAATTTAGGATCTCATTTATCCTTGTGGGAAAACACTTATTTACAGCTGGTTGTAATCTTGTAATCTGTATATTTATATTTGTATCTCTAGAATTAAGTATTTGTATCCCTAGAATTAAGGAAGATTTAGTTTCCTAGTTTAACCCCTAGTTAGTTGTATATAAACCTAAGATTCTTGTATAATTCAAATAAGCAGTTTTTCAAATATACATTCAGTTTCCACATGATATCAGAGCTTTAGGCTCTTCTGGGGAAGCAAAATTTTTCAGCCTTCATTGCTGACTTTTTTAGGCCTTCATTGCCGAACCCTTTCAAAGAAAGATATCACTACACCTCAATTTGAGAAAATGTTAACTGGGAAAATCACTAGAGTACTACAGATGTCTCAGAAACAAGGAGAGTTCAACAGGGAAGAGATTGAAAAGCTGAGAAACTTATTGAAAATCCTTGAAAAGCCTACTATGGTATGTTCTTTGGGTAAAGTTTCTAGTTCAGGTAAAGCTTCTGGTTCTCATGGATTAAATGTCTCGGCTAAGCCTATTACGAGTTCTTGGGTCATTGACTCAGGAGCCACAGACCACATGACACATTCTTCACAAAAGTTTAGTACATATAACCTGTGTCCTAGTAATAAGAAAATTGTTGTTGCTGATGGTTCACTTACCACAGTGGCAGGATTAGGAGATGTTCAAGTTAATCCCTCGTTTGTTCTAAAAAATGTTCTTCATGTTCCTGGATTATCTATTAATCTGATATCTATACAAAAACTTACCAGAGATATGAATTGCAAAGTAACTTTTTATCCCTCTTATTGTGAATTTCAGGACCAGAGTTCGGGGAAGATGATTGGACTTGCTAAGGAGAAGGATGGACTATACTATCTTGAGACATCAAATAGCACAAGTAGTATCAAAAATAGTTTACCTTTGTCATTTCTTTCTGAAAAATCTTCCAATAAAGACAAAATTTGGCTTTATCATTTTCGTCTTGGACATCCTTCTTTTGGAACCTTGAGAAACATGTTTCCTTCTTTGTTCAAAGGATTAAATGTTGAAGATTTTCATTGTGATATTTGTGAATTTGCAAAACATAGACGTGTGTCTTTTCCAATCAGTAACAAAAGAAGTTCTACTCCCTTTTACTTGATTCATAGTGACATTTGGGGTCCCTCTACAATTCCTAATATTTCTGGTGCGAGATGGTTTGTTTCATTCATAGATGATTGTACTAGGGTCTCTTGGGTTTTTTTACTTAAATCCAAATCAGATGTGAATAGTGTGTTTTTAAGCTTCCAAAACATGATCCAAAATCAATTTGGAGTGAGAATCAAGAGATTTAGGTCTGATAATGCAAGAGACTACTTCAACCATAGTCTATCCACCTATTTTCAAAAAGAGGGGATTATCCATGAGTCATCTTGTGTTAATACTCCACAGCAGAATGGAGTGGCAGAGAGGAAAAACAGTCATTTACTAGCCACAACCCGAGCCTTTCTTTTTCAAGCAAATGTACCTAAATCTTATTGGGGGGAAGCTGTTCTCACTGCCACATACATTATAAATAGGTTACCTTCAAGAGTTTTGGGATTTAAAACTCCTATGGAACTACTCTCACAATTTTATCCCAACCTCAATACCACAAACAATCTCACACCTAGGATATTTGGTTGTACATCATTTGTTCATGTTCACAGTCATAACAGGGGAAAGTTGGATCCAAGAGCGATTAAGTGTATTTTTGTGGGGTATTCTTCAACTCAAAAAGGATATAAGTGCTATCATCCTCCTACCAAAAAATTCTATGTGTCTGCAGATGTCACTTTTGAAGAAAATAAACCATTTTTTACTCAATCTTATCTTCAGGGGGAGACTTCATTCATGGAAGATAAGGATAAAGACTTCTTTTTGCTTGATTTGCCCCCTTCTTCAACATTTACACCCA